TGCCTCAGGCTTCCTGTAGTCAGCCGCTGGTCAGTTTCAGCAGCGGCTGAATCTGGACGCCAGTTCCGACTTACACACAGATTCAACTTAAGAACAAACCTACAGTCCCTATCTTGTACGTAACCCGGGGACTGCCTGTATAATTATATTGTTGTTAAAGTCAATAGATAATAACAGTGACAACATAACTCTCATATATTTAACTCCTGCAGTTTTAGATGCAGCACCAGAAAATGATAGTTTAGTAACTGAAGTACAGATCAAGCTTACTAAATAGCCCTCAAAACTAGTATACAGAATGGGATAAATATCTCCCATACTAAGGACCTAGAACACACATAAATTAGTACAGTGATAGAAATGTAGCCTTGTTAGTCTGGTGTAGCTGAAACAAAAAACAGGACTACGTAGCACTTAAAAGACTAACAAGATGGTTTATTAGGTGATGAGCTTTCGTGGGCCAGACCCACTTCCTCAGATCAAATAGTGGAAGAAAATTGGCACAACCATATATACCAAAGGATTTTTTTTTATTGTATCCTTTGCCAGCTCCCCGCACGTATTGGCTCCAGCCTACCTGCCCCCACGCTCCTGCCTCTGTATCAGAGGCAGCAGCACGGGGGTGGAAGACACAGGTGGATCACCACATGGTCCAGTGCTCATGGGGAGCTGGCTTAAAAACTGGCTCCTCATGGGCACTGGCTCCCTCTCCCCCCCCCTTCTGCCTCTGATACAGAGGCAGCCTGGGGAAGAGTGGAAATGCATGTAGTTGACAAGTTTAACTGATAAGCCCAGGCTTATCAGTTAATCATGTAGTCAGCTACACAATGACATCCCTACTCCTCACCCTAGCCAAGGAGGACAGGAATCCATGCATGGATGCTGAGTGCTTTCCTCTTGTATCCTAAGAGGGATGGAAGGGAAATAACAGCAAGCAGTGTCCCGGTACAAATTTTGGGGGGGGTACGGAATCTGAGACACTTCCCCTCCCTAAATGGCAGCCAGAGATGAAAGGGGGTTGGGGCTGGGGCAGTTCCAGACTGATGAATCCCCAGCCAGTCCCTTTAACCTGCCTGGCTACCTGCTGCTTACCACAGCAGTCTTCAGGAGACCATTGTGCCTCTTCCTGCATCGGAGCATCCCAACTGGCCAGCTCCTTCTAGCTGGAGTGGCACACCAGTTTATTTTCACCTCTGGGTAGACCATAGAGTTATCCACAAAACAGCTGAAAAGATGAACTGAGAATGAAAATGTCATTTACCATTTCTTACCATTTCTTTCTTGAATGATTCTAATGGCTTGCAACTGCATTTCAATGTTTTTCTGTACCATCATTTCTTTAAATAATCTAAAATCTTCTGCTGCCAATACTGGTTGCAAAATGGCCTTTTGGGGGGGAAAAAATCTAAAAATTAATTAAAAGCCTTTCAGAAATAAAAAAAAAAGATCATTTAATCAAAATAGCCCAAACACTAAATAGTCTGTATTATCCACAAGACAACATTTGTACAGTGTGTCTATTTAGAATTTGTGTGTGTTATTTCCTGAAATAAACAGCTATTGTTGATACAATGCCAAGAACGCTGGAAAAAAACAGGCAACTATTCAAGTACAAACATGGAAAACAAAAAGCTTTTCTTGTCTTATGCTCTTTAAAATTCAGCACTGTCATATATGATTTTCTGTTTTCTAAATGCAGTTTACAAGCTGTACAGTATAGTAAAATATATTAAATGACTTAATTCAACATTGAGGGCCCAGTCCTTCAATGAACTCCACTGCAGGTGGACTTCAACACTATCACAGAATTCCAATGAAGCCAATGGAGCTCTAAACAAATGCCAAGGTAGTCCCAGTATAGTTCATTGCAATTTCATAGCCTAATATTTTTAATTGAACATCATTATGTTTTGAGAGACTGTAATGCTGTCAAATGTATAAATATTTTAATAGTTATACCCAACTCTTACAGACATGACAAATATTTAAGAATGACAAAGAAAAAAAATTAAAAGCTAGTTTATCCAGTGGACTATGATAGTGCTCTGTATTGTACGGGAATTAGATTCCATGTTTTATTCCCAGTGACTTTAGTGGGGACAGGATTTCATCTTCA